ATATGTCAGAGAAAGAAGAAAAGTTATTTTTTCTCTCAAAATTGACATAGTCTCACTTTAAGTTATTGTTTTCACCAATGTTCTAAAAAAAATTACTGCTGGCAGATCAAAAGACATCCAGCACATTTTTTCTCATTCTCACACTTTTGAGCAATAAAATACTATATGTATAATTAGATTATATATATATATATATATATAAGACCCCAGTTGCAAATGCAAACTATGCAATAAGTGGGAATGTGTTCCCTGTTGGAGCTGTAAAATGCATTGTTGGCACAGTGTTATCCGCTACTCATTAACACCTTAGACTTCACACCGTCTGTACTTGTAAACATCTTCACTGTAGAAAGCTGTAATTGCATACACCCACACATCAAATTATTTAACCATCTCTAACTTACAATACTTTCAATAACTCAGTTTCTGAAGAAGACATTCTTTAAAAATCTATTTCTCAGCTATTGTTCATAGCAGTTACTTTTTAAAACAGTTTGACTTTGCCATATTTTAGCCATAGGCCATGATATCGCACCAGATATCACATTTCCTGATATGAGTTTAGCTTTAGTAATTGTCCATTGACATGCCAACACTGAGTGCATTATGACTGCTGATAATACATTTAAACAGATTAGTTCTGGAGCATCCTCTTGACAAATGAGGACATGCTGGAAATACAAGCAAAGCTTAAGCAGCAAGTGTGTGTGTGAGGGAGAGAGAGCGCGTGTGAGGGGTCCTAACAAGTCTATAAGGTGCATCCATCATCAAAGTCAGACTGAAATCAACATGATGCAGCTGCACCAGATCGTTTTAAGGTGGCTTGTGGATTTCTAAACATCATGATGTTTGACATCAATGTCAAACCTTTCATCCATATTGTTCCTTTATCTAAGCAAATCACTCTGCAATTTGGGAAGAACTTCACTGTGAACTAATGAAGCACACATGATGTCTTGATGTCCCTCCAACCTCCCTGAATAAAAGTGAAGCCAGGGTCCAAAAGCAACATGTTGTCATATTGGGTGTTAGCCTGTGTATCTACTAAAGATAAAGCTGTTGCAGTCACAATTATCACTCAGAAGATTTTCAAAGGACCCACGCACTCAATAACAATATTGCCACAGCCAGCTTAAGAAGCTATTAATTGAATTTGAATTTGAATGATTTGCATTTTAATAGCACACCTACACTTTCTTCTGTATGTGACACCTTTGAAACTGCATCACAGTCTCGTCATTCACCCATCTGTCAAAGACTGAATGGCATTTCTCGGGGTCTCAGCACACAAACAGATGCAGACAGAATATTAATGAAAGGATGGAAGTGATTAATTAACAGAAAAGTGAGAGCACAAGGAGAACTATCGGTGGATAGTTCTCCTTTCATAGTGGTTGTAGTACTGGGTCATCTCACTTAGATGATCTTCTTCTTATCAACACATTTCTTGCTGCGTTTCTATCTCTGCATAGTGTCGTGTGAGGACAAGGCAGCATTATGACACGTTGTTTTGAAATGATTCCTGTTGGGTCGATATCAGGTGTTGGGTTTCTGCTGGCTATGAAGACACCAGTCGGAGAAGAGGCGTTGAGCTGAGAGCAGTTATTCTTTTACAGTGAATCTGTTTACATGCGCACATTATTTCGAATAGCACTGCAGATCATAATGCTGCTAATACTCTTGGTCATGAAAGGCTGTTTGTAAGCATCATCTTATTCTGCTGCCTAATAACAAATGCATGAATAAACAGCACATTTCCTGTGAAAAAATAAGGCTGACTCAGGCAATGTAACCCCAAACGGTTGGTCAGGTGCATACATATCAAAATAGTATATTTAATATCCAAGAAAAGTTGACTTATTTGAATTATTTGATACTAGGATAATGATAACACATCATGGAGCTTGTGCTCGAAGAAATAATAATAATAATAATAAATTGAATTTGCATAGCGCTTTTCACGAACTCAAAGTCGCTTTACAGAGCAAATATAAAATTAATACTGTTGTATTTGTACATGTACAACGTAGATTTGTTTGTCATTTTACAACCCAGGGTTGTGTAATGAGATGAGGGTCATTAGAAAGGAGCCAAATTTCATTCCATTTGAGACACAAACTAAGTCATTTATAGAATATGTGATATTCCAGCATATTGGTGATAGTGTTGTGTAGCAGAAGACTGCAGACATACTGTGTACTGACCAGTCATGGACATCTGTGGGTGTAAATATAAAGCAACCAAATCTACCAAGATTCTATCAAAAAGCCAGCTTCATTTGTAGGGTTTAAATTGTTGCATACGCTAGTGTTTGACACAATTTTAACATTTGCATTGCCTGACTGTTGATCACTTGGGGGCAGAAGAGCTCCAAAACAACACACAGAAACACAGCTTTGATATAATTATCAACATACAAAAATGGGTAACATGTGAAGCCATGTGAACTAGCATGTTAATGATAACAAACATTTTGCATCTACCTTAACAGAGACTGAAAATCTGAGCAGAGTTGGGTAGTAATTACTTTTGGGTTAATCATTTTGAGCAACCTCTTTAAAATTACAGCACCACCCTCAACACATGTTATTTTGATAATATTATGCAGTTCATTTGAAATTTGTAGATTTGATCCAGTCTTTCTGTAATTTGACATATTTGTATTTTCTTGCCAAGACCTGATGATGATGACGATGAGATTAATGCAATGCCCCTGTCTGGACCATAAATGTGAAGCTGTAGCCAGCAGCCAGTTAGCTTAGCTTAGCACAAAGACTGGAAACAGCAAGCCTGGCTCTGTCCAATCCACCTACCACATCCAGTAAAGCTGGCAAATTAATATTAGGCAGGTTATGTTACCTTTAAGCTGATCAGCAGAGAGACAGGCTGTAGCCTATGTCTGTATGAGTAACTGTGATGACGTCAGCTAGAGGACAGTGACAGCAGGCACTGGGATTTTACTTAAAAATGTTTGGCTTTAAAGCTGAAAGCTCTTCATTTGACTTGAAGTTGTTTGGAAACAGGACAGCACATAGACTCACTGAGTCAGCATCAATGGACCAACTGTTCTACGGATCACCTGGTAATCATTGGTTCAATTGGAGCCTGCTAGCTGTATATGTTCAGTATATAATATCTGATTCTGGTCAAAAATCATCTAATGTTGGGTTAACCCTTTAGGATGATGTTTTGTGAAATATCTTCACGTGAATAAATATTAAACTGTTCATAGATCTTCCTCATGATGGACATTTTGATTTGTCAAACACAGTAACTAATAACATGGAGGAAGGCTTAAATCCATTGAGTTGCACTAGTTCCAGGCGATGATGTTGTGCATGCAGGCTCACTAGCAAGTGCTAAATGTAACATTTAAATGTAATAGAGCATCACTAATCATATTAGTAACACTGCATTCACGCCGTATCGACCATATTCCAACTTGGAAGTGTTCACACATTTTTCTGAGATCGTTATTCCCCTTAGCCAGTCACACCAGATACACATCATAAAATAGCATCTTTTCAGTTACACCAGGGTTAGACTGGTCATCTGGCAGACTGGGCAATTTGAGCAAACACAAATAGTTTTGTTGTTGTTGGATTTTTTTATCTTGATGCTGGGCTGGCTCAGTCATGTCGTTAAACCCCTGGCTTTTGGGCTCAGAAAAGGCCTTCATTAAACAGTGCATCTGCCAAAATGTGTACTGTATACTGTAACAGCAAGAGATGTTTTGTCAGCCTACTTTGATTATCCACCAGTGTGGCTGACTGGCCTGGGCAAGAGGGCTGACGGCCCACTGCTGATTGGGTATTACATCTGTCAGCCTCTCTCACCCAGCCCCACCCCTTTCCCATCCCAAGTGGTGACATTTGGAGAAATAGCGAAGTGGAACAAGATGGACAAATAAAAAGACAACAAAATTTAAAGGTGGTGCTGAACATCTGAGGGAGAAGAGGAAGTCCCTTGTGAAAAAGTCCAGGGCCATAGTCCAGCCCTGCCTTACAAATCTGTAGCATTTCATTAACAATTCAAACCAGATAAAAACATATGTAAAGCTCATTTTAAATGGGCTGAAATCATTCTGTTAGTGCTAATATTGGATTTTATTAAGTTATAACTTTCAGCAAAGGTGGTTTTGCAGCTGTGTTGCCCGTGGTTTGTTGACATATCTTTTCACAAAATGACAGATATCATCGCTGTTGGAAATTCACTGATTATTCTACAAGCTGGGCTCTGGCATGAATGGTTTTCGCTATGCGTTATGCGTTCTGATCGATATGATGTGAATGTGGAATTATACATGATTTTCCTGCAATGATAAGTCCTATCTGACATGGGCTCTCAGAATGCTGTCAAGCTGGTGAATAAATAAGCATTTCTCTGACTGTAATACAGTTGGTGTGTTTTCAACTGACCTAATCTTCCACAAGCTTGAAAGGCCATAGTCACTCATTTAAACCACCTGCTATAAGCAGCATCATTTATAGCCACTGCACTTTGTCACATGCCAAAATATTACCATCCTCTTTCATTACAGATATGAGCAGTACTGCCTGTCACACTGCTGCCTTCTCTCCATCTGTGGGGTTCTTTAGATTAGACGCATATTTTTACCCTGTCCCATTATTAGACTTTTCAAGCATAGTGGTCTATTAAGAATGCACTCGACTTAATTTGCCTTTCAGGAAATGAAAGCAAAATGAATAGAAATGTCCTTACTGTTTGACTAGAGGACTATAGCTGTATATGCCTCAGATAAAAAACCCCCACGTTAGGCATGGCTGTCTCAGTTTTTCAAATCCTGCTTCATCCCCAAGTAAGAATTCCATTTGTGGCACTGTGACATTTTTCATGTGATTATTCTATTGTCCTGAGTCCCCTGGCCATGGGTGCTCCTCCACCCCGTCCCCTTGCCATCAGCTTTGACAATCCCAGCCTTTGTTTTTGCAATGAGAAGCAGCATTCTTCCAGAGGGATGACCTCCTCTGTCTCTACAGGGGCTGGCACTGAGGACGCGACCCTGCCCGAGGATTGGATAGCACCCACGAGATGCTGTGAACAAAATCCGCTAGTTGTCACCCCAGCTCTGCTGCTCATATGTGCGCCAAGCACGCTCTCCTTACCCAGGAAGAGAACTTGATGGATCCCTCTATTCATCACAGCTGACACATCAAGGCCGACAATTATCAGCACATTCATCATTAACGCAGCCCAACAGGACTAGACTCTGTGACAAAAGTGGATCACCACTCATTTCTGTAAGTATACATCTCTTACACACACACATTGTTACACACATTATTATTTTTATTAATATTAATATATAATATATTCACATTGTATTGTAGTTCATTCAATTGAGAGTCAATGCTCCATTATATCATTATTTGAAACAGTGGTCTACGGGTAAAAGACACTTTGCCTTGGCCACAAAAGCAGGCAAGCTAACAAAATACCAAACTTGAGCAGCACCTGAAGGAGAGAAACTGGGACAAAAGGTACTGAAGTGAAAAAACTATTTCGGAGAGACTCATCCCTAAAATCCCACTGCACCTGAATATTAGAATTCAAAACCAGCCGTACACCAGGTGCAACTTTTACATCTGGAAACCAGTTGAAAGGGATAGTGCAAACATCAAACACCAGAAACAGTGGTGCATCCGATCATCTGTAGCTGTCTATTGTATTACAGACACATGCACTGGTCACCATTAGGATTTAAGGGATTAATAATTGTTGGCTGGATTCAGATGGCAGTAGGATTTAATGAAAGGAAATCACAACATACAGTCCCCCAGGGTTCCTGATAATCTCCTTCTGCTGTGAATGTATTTGAAACCAAAAATTATATTTCTGTCACTTACAATACTATTAAAATTAAAGATTTAAAGAGAAATGTTTGGGACTCTCTCCAACACCTCCCTGGATGATTGGAGGATGTGCATGGAACTGTTTTGCTGTAATGAGGCTTTGCCCTGGATACAGTTTGCAGTGTCAGTGTCTATAATATGGGCTTATCAGTCTTTTGTTCTGCACAGTGCTCTCCAGGCTTTTTACCCTTTAAATTGAGGATTTCTCAGCAGGCTGTCTTTAGTTTGTATGTGCCTCATTGCCCCTAGCAGCCCCTGCCATTTAACATTGCACTAGCACAGACAACATGAGCATGGATTTCCCAGCTAAGAGCTCCCAGGATTTAAAAGACACATCTCTGAGATGTTTGATATCAAGAGAGACCTATATATAGGTTTCATGCACTGTAGCATACATTTTAAACACACACAAGAAGCTTTTATCTTTTTAAGTACTGAGTGAGGCTGGTACCACCTTCCACTCGTCCTCCTTCGCCACTCCTGGCTCTTTGATCCAGTCAAGGTCTATCATTAGTGTGCGCTGGAATCATTAGGGTTGTGATGTAGACCTAAGTCTTCAGGCACTACAGCCTTAATAGTTGTACCTGTGCTATTTACAGCTGTTTGGTCATTACTTATGATGCGATAAAAAGCTACATCAATAGAATGACACCCTGTGCACTAAAGAAAGCAGCTTTGAAAGGCACCATTGTACACAAACAGATTCAAGTTGACTATGCAGGTAAATATTTAATGACAGGTAAATGTGTTGAGGTCAGTTTGTGTCTCTTAAGAGAATTATTCCTCCTTCTGGGCATAAAGTCGATTGGTGTTTATGCCAGGCAGCACTTAAATTGGCTTCATAGTTCAGTGCTTGTACACAGTAAAATTTCAGTGTTTGCCGCCAAGTTACCACAGTGGAACAAAACAATGCTTTATGATGTAGATGCATCAAAATAAATTCATGCATGATGAAATAGAAGATACATACAATTGTGAAAATGTCCTTATTTTGTGTATCTACACTTTGTTATGCCTCCAACCTTATATGAAAAAAAACAATCTTAGCATTATAATTGCATGCTGGAGTTCCAGTTTTTATTCATCGAACCCATGCAGCGGCCATTAACTAGTGGGCAGGGCCCCTGTGTTTAATGATGTGTATGGACACAGGCATGTGTGAAATTTCATAGATGTTGCATTGTGCCAACACCCCAACATCACAGATTTTCAGTTAAAGCCACATTAAGTAGTGATTGTATCTCAAAATAACAGCTTTAAAATCATGTTGATGGTACACTGACTTGACTTGTACACTTTGACTTTCATTGTCACTCTGGGCCCAGGGCAATTGGTATAGCGCTATGTAACATTAAAATCCCGGGCACGAAATCTATTGCAAGAACAGCGTAGTGCTGTACGGCACCATATCACACCAACAAAATTCTTCAGCAAGCAGGCTATAAGCAGAAACAATAAGTATACAATGTACAATGTGACTGGAAGAAACTAGCTCCATATTAAGAAGACGTTGCTGGAAGAAGCAAGGAAGAAAAAAAGAGAAAGTGACCAAGCAAGAGACCAGGCAAGAGTAAATATTAAAACGAAGGTTACGATATGGTAACCCTAGCGCACAGGCAAAGCCCTCTACTGCATGCACCGGTAAGGGTGGGTCTGTTTCCGCCTGTGTACAGGCTTGGGAGATTCACTCACAAAGCCAGCTGGCCAGGCTCTTCTTGGACAGGGTTTTACTGACTGCACTATCACTGAAACAGACGAATAGCTGACCAGTGCATCGAATGGGGGCTGTGTGCTCTACATAGGACGTTAGCATAGCACACATGGACCCAACAGATGCACTCTCACCCCCCTGCACTCTAAGTGGGATAGGGAGTTAGAAAGCATCCAGATTTATTGTCCTGGACCTGAACATGCTCCTAATGTTCTTAAGAACAAAGGAGGAGTGTTGTCTCAATCTGGCTGCACTGTGGACACCAAGAACCAGCATGCAGCTGGGGTGAACCGACAGACACACAGCTCACTCAGCAAGGCGTAGGGCTGTTTGAGAGATAGCATTTTCAATGAGGACTGCTCCAGGGGCTCATAAGGTGCAAATATTAGAGCCACCAACACAAGCAGCAAGTCCTACTGAAGCACCGAGAGACACGACACTGGTCGCTGTCTTCGCACGCCCTGCAGAAAGAGTATCACGCGGTGGTTGGTGAAGACTGTTCTGTCACCAAACCCCCCGTCACAGGAGAGATAGCAGCAGCGCAACAGCCCCTTCTCCAAGCCTGGGATGTGAAGGCTTTCAGAGACAGCAGGTGTTCTGATGCCCACGTCCATAGGTTCCCTGCCAGCGCCAACAGAGCCATAGATTGGACTCCGCCCTGTCTGTTGATGTACGCGCTGGAGGAAACACACCACCACACAAGAAACACAACCTGGAGTGGATTGTGGATGTGTGGCCCCCTCGGTTTTCCTCAGGGAGCCACAACACTCACTGCACTCCCCTGGCAGGTCCCTCCCCATCCAGTGAGAGACTCATCTATGAAGACTGACACAGATGAAGACACCCTGCCGAGCAGCACCCGCGCTGCCAGACAGCAAGAGACCCCCAGAACCGCAGGTCCTCCTGCACCAGAGTTGAAGGGAGGGCGGGAGTCACCATAGATCACCTTTGCCTCTTGAGGTCCAGATGCAGGCTGGCAAACCAACATTATAGCCAGCAAGCCCAGAGGGACCACCTGATGGACTGCTGCCCTGAGGCTCAACAACAGCATGCTTTCGCAGCTGCCGCCTGTGGACCACCAAGTGACGTGCCTGTCTCAACAGATACACTGTTGGATTGTTGCAGTTGAGCACAATCCCCAGATACTCCGCTCGCTACAGCGGCTGGGGAGAGCTCTCTTCCCAATTCATCGCAACCCCAGGCTGTTGAGGTGCAAAATCAACTGGGCTGTGTGGAGATCACTCAAGGCTTCAATCTCTCCATGACCATGAGGTCGTGAGTAGAAAAGAACCCTCATGCCCTTCTTGTGCAACTATTGCAGTGCGATGCATCTGCTGAGCATGTGGGGGGCTAGCGAGTAGTTGACGGAGAGCTTAATGTATTTGTAGGCTACCCCCTGTGAGGAGAAGCATAGAAATTCCCTGTTACTGTGTCACCTCGACATGAAATAGGCATCTTTCAGGTCGATTAACCAGTTGCCGGGCTGCACTTGCTCCAGCAGTTTCTTGATCATGACCATATGGAAACGCCCTTTTGTCCATTATGCTGGTTCAGGTGGCAGAGATCCAGAATGGCTCAGAAGCCTCTTGTCTTTTTTGGGACCAAAAAGTACATGGAGCAAGACCTCTGTGCATGTAAGATAGCCTGCTTCAGCAGAAGTTGCTGGATCTCAGCGGCCAGGAATTCCACTTCCTCTTGTGAGGATAGACTGGCTTCCATTATGTCCAGGAAAACTGGTGGTATGCAGCAGAACTGAAGAGAGTAGCCTCGTCTCAGAATGCTGTCCACTCAGCTTGTCAGCATGCAGCGGCGTCGCCATTCTGCATGAAAATGTGTCCACGGGAACAACCTGAACGCTGCGCTGGTTCGGTTGAGCATATGTTGACAATGCGGTTGTGTGTTTTAGGAACACACACACACTGTCAGTGAGCTAGCAGTGTTCCCATGGACACTGTTGTGAGCGCACGGGGAACACAGAGTTAGCTCGCATTGCTGCATTGTGTCACCATCATGGCAACAGCCCTTCATTCGGCTGCCAGGCAATGTAGGCGACCCGTTGAGCAGGCCAGACAGCCGGCTAGCAAGGAGGAAGCCCAGGTCCTACGATCGTCTTGCTCGGATGCCACCAGGAGAGCAGCATGGGACGTGGGCTTCTGTCCCAGTGGTTTGACTAGCGCAGCAAAGACCCGTGCCCTCCCATTGTCTCTCTCGAGCTGAGCAAGGAGAGCAGTTTGGGCCGTAGGTCGGATCATTAGCTTAGCATTGGTGAACGTGCAGTTTTGTGGAGACTGAAGCGCATTACGCACCGAGCCGAAGATGGAGGGGGTTCAGTAGGGAGGAGAATACTCTTTAGGAATGCACTGTATTTAAGCAGTTGAACATTCACAGCATTTTCAGTGTGTACACAAGCAGCACATGAAACACAAATAATTGCATGCTGGACACATAACAGAGGGAGGGGGTCTGGTGGTGTGCATCAGAGAGACCTGACTTTGGCTGTCTTTCTCCGGCTATAGCAGACTAGCCTAGCTGCGCTGTGAACGCTCAGCGAAAGAGATGTCGGCAGGGTGGCGTGTCTGTTTATGTAACACGCTTTCACTGCTGGTGAGCTAGCAACTGGGAATGCAGAGTTACAGTCGACTGCTGCATTGCCCAGTTTCCACGGTAAGAGCAGCTT